CCCCAAAACCCCAAAACCCCGTCATACTCGCATTTCAAGAATGATTGATTTAGAGATTTTCTCTACTCAATAAGTTTAATTAGCTTTATGAGTATTAAATAATTAACTTGATATATAAATCCACAACCTTGGGTAAATAATAAAATTAAATTCAGATAGCAAATTTAAAATGATTAAATTAATCTTGCTGCTCGTTTTAGCCTATTTCATCTACGAGAAGATCTTCAAGTTCTACTATAGATATTGGTTTTACAGAAGACAAGGTATTCCTGCATGTGGTATACCCTGGCCTATACTGGGAACACTCTGGCCAGTTAAAAGAGTATTAGATAATCTAGGACCCTACAGTAAAACTATATTAGAGGAGTATTGGCACAACTACTTTGGAGAAGAACTACCCCCAATCTTTAGTGATCACAGAATGCCTTGTGCTTCCATAATATTTTGTGACCCTACCTATGTGAATGAGATATACACGACTAAAACTAAGTACATGGACAAGCATCCCAAGTTTTACAGAATATCTTATGAGTAATTCAAGGACTCTACTTTCTTACAAAGATCAACAGAGCTGTGGGCACAAAAGAGAAAACATCTCTCTCAAGCATTTTACAAGGATAAGATCAAAGTTATGCTTAAGTCTGCCATTTCAGTAACTAATAAGAGAGTTTAAGAGTGGAAAAAAATATCAACCTCTGAAAACCCCATCATTGTATTGAATAAGCAAGTTTAAGAACTAATTGATGACGTCGTTCAAGTATGTGTATTTGGATAATCAGTACTAAAAAAGGAAATAGCTTATACTGAATATGGGTAAGCTGAAAATCGATCTATAGGTAAGTTTCTGAGATTCCTGACACAGAATATATTCCTGAGATATGGGGGAATCAGATAAATGACAGATTGGTTCGATTACCTACCAGTTACTAGATATGAAGCTGAGGTTTTTAAAAATGCCAGGCATTTTAGAGTCTTCGTTTAAAAGCTTATTGATGAAAGAAGAGCTGAGATGAAGAATCCAAATTGGTAGTCATAGGGTGATTTCCTAACGCTCATGTTGCAAGATGAGTTCTTTAACTCTGATGAGATGATTATTGATGAATGTAATTCATTCATGATAGCAGCTAATATTACAACATCCATCACACTAACTAATGCCCTGTTTTACCTGATCAAGCATCCTAATATTTTGCAAAGAGTGAGAGAGGAGTGCATTAAAGATTTAGATGTGAAAGAGGGACTTAAGAATTTGAGTGATGAGAAATGGGGTGATTTACTTACTTACGAAGGTATCAGTTCGTGTAATTATCTGCAGTATTGTATATTGGAGACACTAAGAATAGATCCACCAGCTAGAGTGACTAGTCCTCATTGCTTTACTGAGACTATTGATGTTTGTGGAAAGGTTATAAAGGCTGACACTTAATGGCATGTTGACATTTAGTATTTGCATCATAACCCTAAAGAATGGATAGATCATGAAGAGTTTATTCCAGAGAGATTTGATCCAAGCAGTAAGTATTATTTAACTCCCACTGGGAGTAAAAGACATCCAATGTCTTTTGGACCTTTCTTAGGCGGAAAAAGAATATGCTTAGGCAAAACTTTTGCTGAAAGTATTCTAAAATGTATCTTACCAGTTATCTTCAACCAAGTTGATTTCGAATTCGAAGATAAAGAACTACTTAAAAGAAAACCAATTAATACATTTTTGCAGGAAGAGCCATCTTATCTAGTAAGGTTAAAGTAGCTTGCTTGAAGATAATTAAAATTGAAATCCAAATATTTTAGAGTTGTGATTTAATTACTATTTGCTTTAATTTCAAATTAATATCTGCTTTTGGAAATAACTTAATTACATGTTACATATAGATTCAATAATATAAGGGGTTTTGGGGTTTTGGGG